TGCTCCTCAACCCTGCACTGAGTGTGCAGGGTGCAGTACTGCATTCCTGATCCCCTTCTTCATGGGTGGGAGAAAGGATCCAGCTCTGGGCAGAGGAAGATAAGACCAGCTATGGGGAGACCAGAGAAATGCTGGTTCTTGGGACAGGAGGAACTGGAACAATGAAGTCAGTGGGGCAGGCTGCAGCAGACACGGATACATCAGGAAAGGCGCCGGAGCAGGTCAGTCTAAGGGGAAAGAGGAATTTAGAGGAGGAGGCGGCTCCTCAGGACATAATATTAAAGGCATGAAGAAACCTCCCAGCGCAAGAGAAGAATGCGTTGCATGATGGCTATTCAGCTGAATCATAAATTGCTTTATCCCTTCAAGTTCAAGAAGGAATTACAGAAAGAAAACAAGCTATTTGAATTTCAGGAGATGACTGTAAAACTGTGGCACAGGCATCTGGGGGAGAAACTGGAAAGCTGAAGCAGAGATGCCGGTACCAAGGGATGAGGAAACACCAGGGGAACACAACTGCAAGTGCTCGGAGGCACATCTGCTCCAGCAGCAACCTTGGCTCAAGCAGCCTCTGTCATCCCCATCGCCACTTCCCCAACCCCCAAGAGCTGCACCAGGACTGGAGGGGGACACACACGCTGAGAGGGCTGCTTGTGCTGGTGATGCTGCCAAAAAGTAAATTAAATAAGATAATGCTAACAAACTGTGCATCCAACTGCAGCCTAAATAAACCAGAGGCTTCCAGAGGTGGATTTCATCCACCCAACATGGCCCAGCACGCTTGGAAAATTGATCAAAGCCATCCTACAGCCACCCACCACAATGGCCGAGAGGGAGGTGGCTCCCTGGGCAAGAGCAAGCAGTGTTGATCCTAAAAGAGAGGGAGGAATAAGACCTGGGCTTATTTGGCTTATATTGGTAGAATTAAAGAGTTTTAAGCATGAGAATGATACCAAGTCAATATACCAAGACTGTTTTAATCAAATTTTTTTCTGCATAAATCTATTTGTTTTTCTTCCATGGCAGGAGTTTCTCCTCCCTGAAAGCAGAGCAGCTGCAGATCACAGAATCATGGAATGGATAAGGTTGAAAGGGACCTCAAGAAGTCACCTAGTCTGACCTCCCTGCTCAGGCAGGGTCCCCAGGAGTATATTACTCATGTTTTTGTCTAGGTGGTTTTTGAAAATCTCCTGGGAAGAAGAATCCACAAACTCTCTGGGCAGCCTATTCCAGTGCTTAGTCACCCTCACGGTAAAGAGGCTCTTGCTCATAGTCAGGTGGGATGATTTGGATTGTTGACTTTAATAAGGCTCTTAACACTGTCTCAAGTACCTTTCATGTAAAGAAGAGAGGTAGGGATGGCTACTGGCCATGGCTTGGCACAGATCTGGGGACCACTGCACCTCCTTCTGGGCATACAAACCTCAAGTTGGGGGTCTGCTTTTGCAGGGCTTCTAGGATGCAGACACAGAACTGGGTAGAGATCCATGGCCAGAGCAAAACTGCTTGGGGTGTTGAGTACAAGTCCAGAGGAATCTGGTCTGAGCTGGCTTCACTAACGATTTGGATGCTGAAAAGCAAAGAATGCTTAGGAGAGATTCAGGGACTGCAAGTATGGTGGCCAGAGAGAGGGGACAGGAAAGAACAGTACAAACACAGGGAGGAAATTGACCATTCAGTAATGACTCTGCAAAAATTCAAACACTCTTGAGTATCAACAGGTCATGAAGAGGTTGTGTCAGCACATTGCTATGAAAAAGGGAGCCTCTAGCTGGAACTTGCAAAAAAGGGGTAACACTAGGACAACACAGAAAAAAACTCCTCTGCTCAAACTCAGCTCCTGTGCAATGTCCAATCTTGGCATTCCAGAGTCCAAAAGACAAGAAGAATAACTGACAGACTAGAATCGTAATGTCTGAGTAAGCATTGAAGGAACCAAGACAGATTAATTTAGGAAAGAAAGTAGGGCTAAACAAGATGTTGGCCCTCAAAGAGGTAAAAATTGCTTCTATAAAAGAAATGCAGTAGTGGGAAGGGAAGGCAAGGCAAAGCAGGAAGGCAAAGCAGTCTTCAGGGAAATTCAGCTCCACACTGGCTTTGATACCAAGCCCTGGTTTCATGACTGGGCAGTTCTTTCCTGATCAACCTCAGGAAACTGCTCACTCAATTCTTTCTCATATGTTGTGAATACACAAGGTTTGCTGACAGCTCCACATTCCTTCAGGGCCCTGCTTTTTAAATAGGCAATAGGGGAGGCAGTGCCAGAGCTCTGCTTCTCGATCCCCAATCTGCCTCGCAGGACATGGGCACTTGGCTCCTGCAGTCACTGTCACCTCTCTCCCCTCCCTGTGACAAATGTTGGATATGCAGAGATATTTCCCACTGTGCCCACAGTAGTCCCAGTCCATGTGGCTATCAGGCAGTCTTGGGAAAACATTTCAGGCGTGACTATTTTTGATTATGATCTTGCAGCCTGAGCTCCACCTGCCTGGACTTGTTTGATTTCAGAAGGAGCCAAGAAGTAGCATCTGACAAGGCAGTTACCAATGACCGTGCAGGCCATAAAACTGCAGGAAGCTCCCCATTAAATCCCCACCTGTCTGGGACAGCCTCTATAAAGAAACCACCAGAGGTTTGGGCTTCAACTTAGTGTACCCTGTTTCTCACGGCATTTCTGCCTTTGCAGTGCAGAGTCCTGCTAGAGGACTCCCCCCAGGACTGCAGCACCAGCAGCATCCGCCATGCACTGGGCAGGGGGCTGAGCCAGGGCCAAGGGACAACCAGGATAGCTGCAGCTCCAGGATGAACAAACACTGTTGCGGCTGAGCATTTTGGCTGCAGGGCTTTCCCCAGGGCAGGGAAGTAACAGGCTCCAGCTGGGAGCCTCTGGTGAGATTTGGCCAGCAGGTAGAGCAGGGATGGGCACAGCCCTGGGGCAGCACTTTTGCCAGGCTGAGGTCCCAGGGAGGAAGGATGAGTGAGCTGGTGGAAATTTTATGGGAGACTTAAGTGTCAGCACGACAGGAGAAGGGAGCACATCCACATGGCCCCTCCGCCATGGCACAGAGCTGCTCCCGGTGCTCAGCCCCGCCCTGTATTACCGGGGGTGGAGGGAGCGGGGTGATCCTGCCAGGGAGGGGCTTTGCAGCCCCCAGGGCTGGGGTTCCGCCCCAAGGCCCAGCTGGTGTTAGGGCAAGACTCAAGCGTGTATCGGTCTGGCGGTGTCCGACGAGGAGGCGGATTTGCCTCTGCAAGTGAGTCCAGCTCCTCTGTCCTGAGTTTTTAGGCTGGAAATCGGCGGGACTGGGCTTAAGAACATCAGATACCAATTGCCAGCTGGCGAGAGTCGGCACTGTTCCTGAGTCCGTGTTTGGGAGTAGACAGACACCCTCCCCATCTTAGCCCCGGGTGTCGGGCATCCCCCGCGGAGCACAGCCTTGAGCCCCCGTCTCGCCCTCCCGGGGGGACCCGCCCGCTCCCCGCCGCCCCACGCGTGGGCTCGGGTGTTTACCCCCATCTAGTGGTGGACCCCGGCTCCACACGGGCGCTCGGCAGAGAGGAGAGGGTATCCCGGGGATCCTCAGCTTGGCTTGGGCTGAGGCACTCAGACTCTCTCGCTGTTGAGGGGTCGAGGTGACACAGGCAGGGCTGGGGCTGGGGCTGCCCTGAGAGCGGCCCCTCTGCCGGGGGACCTGCTGCTGCAGTGCCAAGGGTCACATCAGACCCTATTGACAGCTGGATCAGTGACAGGGGAGGGGAGGCGGCAGCACCTCTGCCCAGGGTCGCACCTTGGCAGTGGAGATCTCCGTCTCTGTAATTCCCTTCGTGCTGCTGCTCCAAAGAAGACCCGGCAGAGCCCATCCCCTGTGGATCCCAACAAGCAGCCCAAGACCACATTCCAGGCACCTGTACCACCTGCCACTGACAATTCATCCTGAAAGGGCCATGAACCATGGCTATAATAAGGCCCCTGAGGCCATCCCCTCATGGGTTTGGGCTGAATCAGCCCTTCATCAGCAGTGCACACTCAGGGGTACACACTGTCAGGGAGGCCAGATGTCCAGCTGCCCCAGCAGCTGAGGTGTCTCTGAGGGCGGGCAGGCCACAGTACAGAGTGGAGGGATGGGCACTTTCCTGTCCCCTACTCTGCACAGGACCAAGCTGCAGACAAGTGCTGCACTTGTGGCTGTGTCCTGCCTGTTGCAGTGAGTGCTTCAGCCTCCTGCCCACGTACCATCACCGTCACCACAGCAGCACCAGGGCAGGCAGCAGCCCCCAGGCATCCAGCTCCACTGACAGACCAGCCCCACACAAACTTCTGGGTGTCTGGACCAAACAGCCCTGCCTGGAGCCGCAGAGGGGACACCCGTGAGAAGCTCAGACCTGAGAGGATGAGGGTGCCCTTGATGGCCACGGCCCAGTGCTGCACAGTGGCTGCCATCCACATCAGTACACTCCTGGTATGTTGTTACCTGTGGAGCAAGGGCAAGGCCACAGACATGTGTCAGGATTGCAAAATGCTGTCCTGTGCAGTGACAAAGCTTCCTCCACACTGATCTCTATGTGGGTGCTTCACAGCAGGCAGAGCACAGCCCTCAGCCTGTGCACAGAAGTGTTCTCCCCCTTCTCCACAGAGCTTTTAATGAAGAGCTCATGCTTAGCATCTACCCCAACTCCTTTCTGAGCTGCAGCACCTCAGCATGGGCTCATCCTTCCTGTTCTCAGACCCTCCTCTCTCTCCAAAGTTTGGTTCATGCCAAATGAGACCCCAGCAGACATGAACAAAGTGGGCCACAGACCACGTGGCAGCATCAGGAGCTGCAGCAAGTGTCTGGGAATGGAGATCTGGATCTTTCTCAGCAGTGGGCAGTATGGAAGTGAATAAAATTACATCATTCATCATAGTACAAGCCCATTTTGTTAGGCACAAAAGATCAGCATGGAGAAGTTTAGACTGTAGAATCCAGTGAAGGAAAAAAATCTGATACTCATTTGTGAACCAAGAGTTGCCTTTTATTTTTAACAAAACCCTGAAAGGATGTATGATATAACAAACCACTCCAGACAGTCTGCTCTTGCAAATACTTTGTCCCAGCTCTGAAAAAAGGGGTTTTCCCAGCAGCTTCTTTAAACCCAGTCCATTTATTTTAATTGCTGGCAGACTGGCATCCCTTTTAGAACAGACCATTGGGACAATATGCAATGGCCTTGCACAGGCTGCGTGAGCCAAGTTGGACGGGACAGGCAGGCACAGGCAGCACCACAACCCATGGAGTGGGCAACGGGACAGCTCAGGGAGGGCAGCTGGAATGAGGCTGAAAACCAGGAGACAGAGAGTCAGCAGACATGGAGCTCAGGGGGAGGGAATAGCACCAGAGCTCCTGAGAAGTAAAGAGGAGAGGCAAACCCATGCAGAACTGTTTATTTTGGCTGTTAATTTTCTGTCACACAGGTGGAACTGACCCCAACAGCCAATACAATGAAAGTGGTGGGGAGGCACCCAGGGGTGAGAGCAGAAACCTGTCTTCTGGTGCTCATATGGCCTTAGTTTAGATTCAACCAACTAAAACCTTATTCTAAAGCCCTTTACTCCACACAGCAGGAATCCTGGATGCTGTGGAGCAGGAAGAAATCAGGTTCTTGGGTCCTGGCTCTTCAGTGCTGCCTCCTGACCTCTCCTCTGGTCTCACAAGCTCCAGCAGTTTCTATAAAGCACAGGGCACATCCTGACAACTCTGTTCATCACTCTCTTTTGCAATCTTCCCATAAAACTGCTGGTTGTTTGGATGGAATAAACATCTACATGGTCTGTGCATCCTACTTACACCAGAATTCCCAACCTTTTGTTGTCCTGCAAGTCTCACACCCTGGTAAGGGGCCTCTCACAGCCCACAGAGCTGATAGGCCACGCAGGCATATTACCCTGTAATACCCCATAATAATAACACAAATAAGAAGTATAAAAGAGCCATCGCCCTCTTCATGTCCCGGTGCCACTAGATGGCACCAGTTGTGTACCCTTCCCAATCCGGGTGTCCCCAGGGCCACTGAGGGAACCTGGGGGGATCCAGCCCAGCCCATGCTACAGAGCCAGAGACTGCAGCACAGGCAGATGCCTCCTCCTCCTCCTCCTTTCCACACGGACCATGGGCTGCTGGGGTAAAGGAAGACATTTAAGACTTAAAATCAAACCTTCACTGTTGTGCTGGGGGGAATTACCTGTGATGGCTTTTGTCATGCTGCCTATCCCACACACGCCCTTCCCCACTCGTGGATTGGGCATCACTCCCAGCTGGGTGCTGGAGAGGAAACTCTCAAAGGTGGGTGAAAGTTATTCTGATCAATATTGGGATCAGTGGTTGAGCTTCCAGCACGGACAGGCTTCTCTTGGGAGGAGGGAGAAAAGGGAATAAAACACAATTTACCATATAATTTATAGTCAGCAAGTGGCTTGCCTTCCCTGAGGTCTCACAGTTTTAGGGATTGATTCTCCTCATGCACATTTGATATCCAGCAGAGCTCAGCATGTCCCAGAGTATTTATTACCTGCGTTTTTTACCATCAAGCCCTCCCTACCCTGTCACATCCTTGGCAAAGACACTAAGTAAAACCAGGAAAGCGCAGGTGGCACCTCAGCAAATGTCAGGTCTTTCCTCAGACCTTGCAGCATAATTAAGGAGCATCTGTTTTCTACTGTCTTCGGCATCGAGCACTGAAGGTGACCCTCAGAGACAGGAGCTCAAATGACAGGAGTGGCTGGCGAGGCTTTTCTGCACTTCAAAGCAGCCAGACAAACCCTGGCCCCAAGCAGTGTGGGGGACATGGGTAACAAATCATTGCTCACCACACAACCAGCCCAGTGCAGAGCCAGAGAGGTGATAGACAGAGCACAGCTCCCAAAAAAGCCAGAGCATTAAACCACCAAGAGCAACATGTAAGTCCTTGATGCCCACATCACCAAGGCTGGCACATCTGGATGACTGCTGAGCATAGCAGTGGCATGACCCTTGTGCCAAGGGGATCCCAGTGAAACCTTGGGTGCCAAAGGAATGGGAGGAGAACTTTATGCAGGGATTCTCTGAGTGCTGAGCTCTGAGCAACCCTGTCCTGCTGGCAGAGGTGGAGTCACTGGGTGCAGGGCTAAATGGGAGATACGCAGGACAGCTCCATGGTGGCCCTGGCAGGCTGATGGCAATGGCAGGACTGCCCCTGCCCACATCCCAAGGCCACAAGGTAATCCTGCAGAAGGACCCTGAGTGTGACCCTGCTTCCCAGCCCTCTGCAGAGAGCGGCACAAATCCCACACAAGCGCTTTAACCCCAGCCTAAGGTAAAGGCTAGAAAGTAGGAGGCTGGATCACTTAGGAAGGTCAGGTCACACAACAGAGTGGGTTAAAATCCCCCCAAACAAGGAAAATCCCTCATCCTCCTTCCCCACAGCCCTTCCTCCCCTCCCTGATCACCTCAGACAGTCCTAGGGAGTGACCCAGTGTCCCCTTGCCACAGCTTCCCCTCCTGGGGATCCACTAGGAAACTCCCCACACACCATCTGCTCTCCTCAGGTGACTCACGGGTGGCAGAGGACATCCTTCCCACACCATCTGCCTCCATGCCAGGCCACCTCTCCCCATCACTGCCCATGCCCCATCCCAGCCAACATCTCTGAGCCCTCTGGCTCTGGAAAACTTCACGTATGCCACCAGCACTAAGCCTCATGGACAAACTCAGGTCTTTATTTGGTCTCTCCATGACTGGATGCTACACACAGTGTGCAGAAGCTTGCTGCTACAAAGGGGTGTTTCTCCACACACAGCAGTGGCCAGCCCAGCGTCCCTCACAGCTCCCAGCTGCTGCTTCCAAGTGGAATATACCCTCGTCTGCCTGTGGATGTCAAATGGCAGAGACATACATAGACATTGACATGAACGTGGTCAGAGCCATCCACATGCTGTGGCATTATTTTTAGCCCGACGGTGACTGAAATGTCAGAGGGGATTTTATTTATTTTCTCTGGAAGGCTTGTTGCTTGAAATTGCCATAGGTAGAGGCTGACCCTGATCCTGCTGTCACAATAGGTTCTGTCATCCAGGTCTGTCACCCTTTCCCACCTTTGAAAAAATGTGCAATTTGTCAGGAGGGGAGGGTGACTGGCTCAGTGTGCCTGGCAGGGCTGGCACCCTTTGGAGGACAGGTGCCCACCCAGCCACACAGCCCAGCTGTGCCCACCTGTCCAGGCTGCAGCTTCCTCAGCTCCCCCAGCCTTCCCACATCCCAGGAAAGGTCTCACTGAAGCTGCAATGCACAGCTGTGAAATGTGAGGGACACCATGGCTGGCCTTTGGAGCAGCCTTGCAGTCAGGAAGGGCAGGCAGGCCACGGGACGCTCTCGCTGCCCTTTAGTGACGTGAGGGACGGAGTGTAACCATGCCAAGGTCTCATGGGGCCCTGAAAGCACACAGAGGACTCCCTGGAGACGGAGCAGCCTGTTCCTTCCTGCTTCTCTGCCACTCTCCCCACGCTCAGCACTGCACCAGGTGCAAAGCTGGTGACAATTACAAACCTGCCTGGCTCCTGAAGAGCTCACAGGACCCCGTCTGCCCCAGGACTCCGGGCAGAGAAGCTGCCCCTGAGCTGGGACATCTGTGCCCCTGGGATGGTGGCACAGCACCACAGAATGTGGCAGAACCACCAGGTCTGTGCTTTCCCAGGGTCCCAGGGCATGACACATTTGCTGCCTCACACATTGACAGGTTATGCATAAATTTTCCCCTTTACTTATTAGGGAAGGGCATTCGAGGGAGAATGGCAATTCAGGAAAACACTGGCACCTATGAGGTAGAGTTTTTTTGCTTGTTTACATTGTCAGAGAGGAGCAGTAACAGCCTATTTTCACACAATAGCAAAGGAGGGCCTTGAACCACATCCAGCTAGGAGGTTGTGACCAGTCCATAGATAACTGGGAAGAAAAGTCAGTGTTTTCCTGTCGGAACTGCCTATTTACATCTGAAAAAGCAGAGACCTTGCCCGGAGGCTCGGACAAACAACTCCTTTCACTGCCTGCTTCCCATGAGGCTTTCCCTCCCTCTCCAAGAGGAAATTTCCAGTAACTGAGGTATAAAAATGAATGCAAGACTGTGCTCTGGAGCCAACTGTAAAATTCATTCGGGAAGCGCTCCCCATCCCACAGCCCCCCCATGGCAGGCTGACCCCAAAATGGGTCACAGGCTTTGTGAGAGAGCAAAGAGGCAGCTCTGTCTGCACCCCACCTGCTGCAGGTCAGGCTTTGGGGGAGTGGATCAAGGTGCCCAGAGCAGCAGGCACCCCCAGCACAATGGGCTAGGCAAGGATTCCCTCAGAGGGTCCTTGGTCCCTCAGGAGGTTGCAGTGCTAGGACAACGCGTGCTGCAGCAGTCCCTGGTTTCACACGAGAGATTGCAGGAAACAAGGGATGGAAACAAAGAGAAATTTGGTGAGGGTGAACCTTCCCCCTTCACACATGCCACCATGCCACATCCTGAGAATAACCACTAGCACTCAGATAAGTGGCAATCTCCAGGAAATTTTGGAGCAATGTCTTTCTGCCATATCCCACCCATCTTCCTCCTGGACTTTGCATAGAAGATTAGGACTTGAGCCACGTGGTTTTCCTGCAAAAATGCAGGAATTGTGTCTTCCATAGCTGACAGGCTTCTCCATGCATCCAGCTGCATAGGTCCCTGATGCTTTCAAGGAGATGGGATTGCAGATGCTGCCACATGGGATTCTCACAGCAGGCCTGAGGGGAGGCAAGAAAAAAGCTGGGTAATAAAATACCACTTGTCAGAACATGGGTGAGAGTCAAACAGTTGGAAGATCCCTCCTATACACAGACTCTTGCATGGCAATGTGTCGACATTTACCTGCTGAAATTCTCCAGTTCCTGGGCTACACAGTCCATAGTCATGGGCAGCAACCCTGCTGCCTGCCCCATCTAGACAAACCTTCTCACTCCTCTTCTGGAAGGACATTTCATGATAACATGAAACAACCAAACCTAGTACTTTTTCCAAGTCCTCCCACTTCCATATACAGAAGGGACAAATGTGTTCCTGGTGAGGAGAAAGCCACTGGTTCTCAAAGTACCTACAGGTCACACCCCAGAGCATGGCAGCAAAATCCCAGGGCTGCAATGGAAGGAGGAAGGTGGCACATCCCATAATTTTAACATTTCTGGTATCCCTGAGCTCAGGTGAGGTGACCAACCTGTGCTACACATGTGCTTCCACTGCGGTGCAGACTCAGCCTGGTCTGCTGGGATCTGGGAGCCTATTTGCCCAGGGCATTTCAGCAAATAGGAGATTAAGTGACTTAGATTGTTTTAAAAACATGTTCCTGGATATCTTTACTAAAGCAAAGGTGACAGCATGGGTAATTTCTTTAAAGGAGGGTATAAAAATGGGTGGCTGATAGCCAGTTCATTGTATCAGAATCAGTTTTCATTAAGAAGGGGAAGCTTGTGTGCTTATTAATTGTTTCCCTAATTGCTTTCTCTCCCTGCTACCAGGACAGCCTGCTGTCTGCCTGTGCCTGGAGGCCCCAGGTCAGAGCCCTGCATAACTCATCCCTGATCTGCTATCATGGGTAACTATAAATAAACTGTGACACCTGAGAGCGTAGGAGGCGGAGAGGGACTGTGCTTCTCAACCTGAGATACTCAAACTAGTCAGCTTATCCAACAGAAGGTGACTGGTGGCAATCTGTAGATATTAAAGTGAGACTGACTATTTCTGATAGCCAAGGGATCTGACCCGGCCAAGATAAAACAAAATTCTCTGGCTCTGAGCTGCATAAATTTGGACTAAGAAGAAGTTGCTGATTATTCAAAGTGAAGAAAATATCTGCATTTTCTCCACTAGGAAGTATTTTAAAACCATGAGGAACTGCTCAGCTTTGAAACCTGCTGCAACTTACCCCTCCAAAAAATAAAAAACCCAGTTTGTGACTATGAAGGAGTCTCTTGGGAGACTGAAAGGCAATTGCAGGTGCTTCAAATGAGCATTGGCAACTCACACCAGGGGATTTAACACCTCCCAGTAACAGTCATCCCTCTGATTTAACTCTCCTCCCTTCTGCCACCAGCTGCTGCTGCCAGCATGGAGCGAGCACACTTCCCTCTGGTTTTCACAGCATGGCAGTCACTTACACAGGGCCAAGACTGGTTCAATTAATGTAGCTGTCATAGAGGGGGCAGGGGTGGGTGGGGCTCCCATATCCATCCCTCTGGCACCAGGGAAGCAGGAGGACCACTGAGAAGAAGATCCCTTGGTGTGCCCTACCAGGACGCATCAGCACTTGCCTGGAAGACCCTGTCCATGAAGAGGGTAAGAGCTGGGAGGGAGAGGATGCTGCAGAGAGACCTTGCTGCAGGAACACCCAGACAGGAGTGAAAGATGGGGAGGAAGAGCCCTGTCTTCTCCTCTGTCTCTTCTGTAACCTGAATCACAAATCTAAGCATTCAGCACCCTCCACTGCCTACAACACGATCCTCCATGACGTGGAAGTCTGCAGGTGGAGAGGGGTAAGTAGAGCCAGTGTATAGAGCAGTGAGGACCTTGGGGAGGTGCTGCTACAGCCATCATTGCTCCACTTCCCTGTAAGCAGGAATGCCTACACCTGTGCAGGTATTCACGTTACACATAAGCACACACACACCCCCTACCTTTGCTAACAGCAGAGGCAGCCACAGAGTCCATATCTTCCAGGTTTTACTTCTATATCTGCAAAAAGTAAGTTTGCTTCTGTTTCTGATTCCCTGCAATTATCTTCGAATGCCTTCAAGAGAGCAGTTCTGTCTTCTTGGCTGAGCGAGTCTTTGATGTCCAGCACCGCTCTCAGATGTTCCTTCCTTTCAAAAAGAGTAAGAGGGCAGGTCAGCAAATGGGTCAAGGAAAAAAACCTTTCCTTCCTATTACTCAGTTTTGCTGGACCAGACCAAAGACTGGAAGCTGCTGAGCTGCTTTCTGACGCCTGCTGGCTACCTAAGAAGGAGGAGGCTGTAACACAAGAGCTGCGTGGGATGTGGCTGAGCTCATGGGTCCCAAGCCCAGGGGCACACAGCATCCCTGTGAAGTTGTGGAAACCTTCTACTCAGGTTATTCCGAGAAAAAGATTTGTACCTACCATAATAGGTTTCAGATAACTCTGCATTTGACCATTTGGAAGCATTTTTTATATCTTTTCTCACCTCGAATGGCGCTAATTCTTGTTCACCTGGAAGGTTATAGGATTTTTGTTCTACAGAGCATTGCTTCTCTGAGCAGCACCATATTAGATATAAAGCAAATGTATCCAAGCCAAACAGTTCTAAACATACAGAAATCTGTTGTAATGAAGAACAGTACATCCACTCACACCAGAATGACCTCCTCTGAGAGCTGGGTCTTCTGAGTACTTCTTATGCCCTCTTCCTATACTATACATATACAACTACTTACATGTGTATGTATATACATAGTGAGAGAGTGAGAATTGCTATGCTGTATCAGATAAACAGCTTTTTAGCTCAATAGCATCTTCAAAAGTAGTAAATATTCAGGAAAAGAATACAGAGACCAGATGAAGCTTAACATGATCTCTCTTTGTCTTTCTCCTTTTTTTTTTCCCTTTGCTTCTGGCAGTCTACAACTTAGAGACTTCCCTTGCTGGGGGTTATGTCATGATTGTCATGTTGAATAGGCACTGAAATAATTATCTACCACGAATTGTCTGCTCCCCATTTGAAGCTATTCACACTTTTGGCCTTCACAGCATCCTGTGACAGAGAGCTCTTCACTGCAATCATGTTAGGTTGGAAAAACACAATCACTAGCACAGCACATCAGAAAAAAAGATAGATGTAATAAAACATAGACCTTGGAACAAATGCAGTTAGCTAAGATCTCAACCTTCCTATTAAAAGCTTGTTTCATTTCTGTTAACAGCTTCCTGTAAGAAATGGAAGTGTATATTCTTGCTGAATACACCTAGAATTTTGTGAAAATAGTTATACAAGGATTGGTAAGGTGTTGAAGCCAAAAGCCAAGTGCTTAGAAGTTATGAAATGTCTGAGTTAAGAATGTTCTTGAAACCTACATTTGACACACATGCCCCTGTAAATTCTCCATTCAGGTAGCGCTTTTCCACAGCATTTCTGCTTTGTTGACAGCCATTTCATCCATCATTCACCTTTACAGAAGTACATCTCAACCAGTTCATGTCTGGCTAAGTTATAAACCACGTTAATCAGCATCTGCAAAGAGGCAGCACCGAGTGCACTCAGAGGTGACCATTGTGCCCGGCCCAGCGCACTGCAAAAATTATCACAGGACTAATACTGCTGTAGGTTGTCTGGTGTCAGCTAATCATGCCAGAAGGTACAGAAGTCAGACCAACAAAAGACATTACCTGAGCTCAGGAAATTCTTTGAGAATGGGCAGAAGAGCTATTTTCATCCCCTCAGCATTGGAAGCTTGAATAAGTTCTAAAATTGCTTTTATGGGATCCTTGAGGGTACCAGCTGCAGGACCCTGAGGAGAGAAGCAAAGGTGTGTTCAGTGCAAGAGGAACAGCACACGATGTTAAGAGCTGCACTCATATCAGACTGGGTATCTCTCTGTGTGAGTTAGGAACTTTGCAGGACTGTCTGTGCATGTATAGAAACCTGTTTTGCCCCCAGGGCAGGAGAAGAGAAACTGGGGAGCAGTCATGGACTGCTTCCAGGGTGGCTGGGCAACTACCTTCAGCAGTGCAGAATCCCCTCCTGCATTTACTTTGGCAAAGGAAATGTACCTCATTTTTCCCTAAATTGCCTGTCCTTTCAAGACCATTTCATTCTTTGGGGAGTGTTTTGCTTCCAGAGGTAAGCACAGCCCTCTGCTTGGCCTACGTGAAAACAAGCTCTGTTGGCCAAACATGCTGGCATTTCTGCTGTCCCAAAGCAAGCCCAGGGACAGAAAAGAGACCTTAGGGAGAGGATGAGGGAACACAGATCCTCCAACAGAAAAAAGGGAAGCAGGGCTGGAGAGTGTAAATAATATGATATGGTTGGTAGATGCTGCATATGATCAGCTCCCTCTAACCTGGAGCACACAGGAGAAAAAAAACCCTCAGCAAAAACCATACCGCATTTTCAGCAAAGCTGGAGGAGCAGAATGCAGATGAACTGCCAAGAGAGAGCTTCAGATCTTGCTCACATTTTTCATCAGTGCAGTAATACAATTAAATTGCTTCCCTGAATTATTGATGCCACCACGTCAACAGAGACTCTGTGACAAAGCAAACCTGGAGAATGGGATGCCAAACTGGGGCAGGAGAAGCCCAGGTTCCCCTGATCTCCACAGGGCACTGGAAGCAGCAGGTCACATTCTCCACGCGGCACCTCCGCACCGAACATAAATTAAAAATAATAGTAATATTTGAAGACAGCCTTCCCCCTCTTCCTCTGCACTGCAGACACACAGCATGCCTAGCTCAGCTCAGTGCACAAGCTGTGCTCAGCTCCTGAGGCACCGGTACTGTACAGCTTCATACTTGGCAAGCTCACTATTACAAAATGCTAATTAATTTGAAGGCGTCAGATTTAGTTAAGCACTATATAGACAGGCAAGGTCAGAGGTAAACAGCCTGCAGTCTAAAAGGAAAAAAAAAAAAAGAGAGGTGTCTTGTCAGCAGTGTTTAAGTGCCTTTGACATGTACTGCTCTTAGGAGAGAAGGAAGGTGTTTTCTAATGTGTTTTGAGGATGGAGGGGAAGGAAGAGCCTGAAGAGAGGGCAGAGCAGGGCAGGGAGCAGGTGCAGCCTGTGCAGCAACTGCACGATAAATTCAGTCTGCAGCAGAGTACATATTTTGCATGCATAACCGTGTGCCTCATTCGACTGAGGATCAGCCTGTCCCCTGCAAATCGCTTATGCATTTCATTCCCAAGGTTTTCGGTGCTCCCACCTCAAGTAAGAAAGTGCACAGACTGGGGACACAGGGCTAATCAGATGCAGACTTTTTTCACCCAAGCTGAATGTAGGGTCTTAGTAGATAATTAGATTTCCTATATTTCCTCTGTGCTATAAAACCAGCTTTCTGGGTATATTACAGCCAAAGCTGATGCTGAGCACAGCATTACTGGTAAACTTCAGAGTTAAGATTAGAGAACCCTCCTGCTATTCCCTATAGCTTGATTGCTCAAAGCACTGCCTCATTTGTGATTGATCACTACAGGAGAGGTGGGTCTTCAGCTAAAAGCACTGTCAGCTTCCAGCTTTCCACCATGAAACTAGTGCATTAATTGTAATGGCTCTGAGAGGTTTTTAGAGAAGCCTATAGATGATCATTTTGATTTAATTTTATTATTTGTTGGACAAAGCAAGAATTGCTGACAAACTACTTCAGAGGACTCATCTGTGAGAAAATAGATTTTCAGTCCCTAGCACTTAAATTGACAAGTTGTGAGAATTACTCAGAATTTGTGAAATTATTAAAACCAGTATAGCCAAGGGGGTTTATAAGCTCTGTCACATCTGAGTCCTGTTACCAGACTGACTTTGCAACCAGTACCCCTGTGCTGCTCAGCCCAGCCTCTTACGAAGCACTGCGCTTGGGCACTCTCAGCCTGCACTTGCTAATGAGCCATGCCAGGGACATTGCACGGCAGTGATTCTCCAACTGGACCAGCTGCAGAGGGGATGCTGCTGCCGTTGCAGTCCTTGCCCTTGGGTAATCAAGGGACCCATGTGACAGCCTGGTGGCATCCACAGATGCCGTGTGTGGCACTGCCAATTACACCAGATTATGAATTGAGCAAAGAGGCTTTTTTGAGCTTCTGAAGCTGTTTCTGTAAATCAGACCTAGCACTTTTCCACAGGTTTACTTCAGAGGTGTGGCTCTGCTTTTACACCTAATCTATCCCTTCTGCAAGGCACCTTTACCTCCTAATGCTGTGACGTGTTAACGCTGCAGGAAGACTCGTTCCTCCCCACAGCTGTCACCAACCACAACAGCATCAACATGTTTTTGCCTGTGGGGAAATGCCACAGTGGGGGAAATGGCTCACACAGCCATCATCCCAGATCTGAGGGGCTGGGAAGGGCCTGGGGGTGGGAAGAGGCTGGATGGAGGGATAACAATGCACACCCCATGTCCAGGGAGGAGCAGCCATGAAGGGCAATCCATGGAGCAGGTAAAGATGTGGAGCAGCCACTTTGGTTCATCACTCCAGAGGCTCAAGGAAAGTGCTGCCCCTCCATGCCATGTACCCATGGCTTGCTGGGGGGAGCTGACATCTTTGGAGCTGTCTCACCAGCTCAGAAGAGCATGCCTCATTCTTATGTCAGTGGCAGGAGTGCAAAACTTGCCTCCTCCAGTCACACATTTCAAAACCATGAACTAACAGCTTCTGGCAGATCAGAAGGGCCGTCAGCACATCTGACTGTCATTTCTGTGAAGCTAGATACCCCTGCAGTAAAAATCTTAAGCTTTTTTTTGTTGCTTTCAGAGTCTTTTCCTCTGCTGGTACTGTTCTTGATGACAAGAGAGCAAAACTGTAACCATATCAAAGACTTACTAAGCACTCTTTAAAGATGGCTTGCATCATCTTATGATCTTCTTCTATCTTGTTGACAACCCTCCTCCTCTGCACAGAAGATGGTTTCCTGGGAGTGGTCAGGAGAGCCTGCACATATTCTGTAATAACAATGGCATTGACAGCCTGGACGAGAGCCTGTTCCAGAGCAAAGACACCCAGATTAACTTCCCTGGACTAAGCAAGGACCAAACCATACCTATAGGGCTCTGAGCAGTGTAGACAGTGGATATAGTGTCCATGCAGATGGCTGTCCCATCTCTTTGCTTAAGTATTCCTTTAAAATTCTTGGTCTAAACACGTGGAGTAGCTCCAAGCTGCATGCAGATGACATAAAAATTGATGGTAAGTGTGAAGTCATCCAAGCAAAAGCAATGGAACCAGTTACCTTAGCCAGAGGTCACTCACACTCCAGAGCTGCAGTGATACTTGGCATGGCTAACAAACACATCACCTGGTGAGAGCTTGGACTACAGGCAAAGCCAGACCCAGCCTCCCTGGAGCATCTACACTGGACACAGGGCCATACCCTTGGCAAACAGTTGTGGCTGGGCACAGGGAAGTCACCTGGATATCTCTCTCTCAGCCACCCTGAGAACTCCAGTGTGGAGGAACTCCAGTAGGCTGAGGAACTCCAGTGTGGAGGTCATGCAGTGCCTGAAAGGGCTGAAGAGCATTTCTGAGGGGAGAGGGGCTGCCGCACAGAAACCACATTTCATTAGCAATTGAAATCAGAGCAGTTTTAGGCTGCAGTCCAAAGGTACAGGAAATCCCCAGCCCTGTCCAGAACAGACAAAGCAAGAGACAGAGAGCTCTGGCACAGTGTTTTGCCACCAAGCTGCTGCTTGCCCCAGCACTAATGTGACATAATGTCCAGTGACAGGCTCTGAACAACAGCAGAATAGCTGCTATTTTTTATCTTCTATTACCTTTTTCCATATTGCAAAATGCTAACTAAAATCACTGTCAAAGGGACTGCAGACCTGGGAGCCAACTGCTTTGAGAGGGACATATGTGGCACAGGTAGCAGCAGCAAATCTAGCCTGAATAGAAAAGAGGGTTCCCCAGGTACCAATCTCATTGCTGAAGAGATGAAGTCAAAGGGTGTTGTAAGATCCTAGGCAAATTATTTAGGCTACTGTAAAGGTGAAAAATCTCAGGGTCTTTGTGATGTTTTTCTTTGTCAACCCTCTGTGTCCTTTAGGAATCTGGACCTTTCACCTCTCTGTGTCCTCTCTCCATCAAAGGGACAAATATTCCTTACAAACAAGGTTGAGCCACATTAGAAGCTGAGAAAGTTTCCAACATAATGGTATTGTGGCAATGGTAGGATCAGAGACAGCCAAATGCTCTCCCTTTGTATTTAGGAGGTACATTCAGTTTCCACATTTCTTCACTTGTGGGTTTCTCTGCTGTGATTACAGAAAGGTCTCAGGTGTCACTATCCAACTGTTGGATAGAGGAACTGGACTGAGACCACTAGATAGTTAAAAGCCCTTCTGACAACAGTCAAAACTGCAGTTTGGGTTAATGTTCAAATATTGTGCCATCCAGAGTTTCAAGGACTAGTTTTAGTGATTTCCTGAGTAACATCTTTTTCTCACTTTCTTACTGCTTTCTTACCTCGTACATATCTGTTTTTTTCTTCCCAAAGGCCAGAAAACTTTGCTTTAAGGATTCAAGAACGTGGTCAAAACCACTGTCACACTTTTTGAAGTGGTCCTTCAGTGTTCCCTGAGGAAAAGGCACAGACAGAGTCAAAGGGTGCACATGTAGAGACACCACAGTCAACAGACATGGATTATTGTGCATTTGCTCTTTCTGCTCTCAGAAACAGACTCCTCCACAAGCTGCAGCATCCTGTGCCTTTACTTCAAAGAAAAGCAAAACATGAAAGAAAGAAACAATTCAAACTCAGGAAGGATGTACGAAGTTCTTAAGCCCAAACCTGGAAGACTGAAAACCTGAGCCCCAGCTCTCCTGTTTCTTCCCAGGGTTGTCCAAGCTTCCTGTCAGAACCACCTCCAGTTCCCATCTCAATGTGTGGGCCCCTTGGGACAAGCTGGCAATGAGCTCTGGAGACCAAAACTGCCCAGTGCAGCCAGGGTTTCTTTTGTCATTTTCCTTTTATTGCCTCCAGGCTGCTCAAGAGAGCCTGTTCAGTGAACCTGAAGATGCTCAGGGGAGCTTCCCAAGGAAACACACACCACCACACACTGAGGAGCCTGCAACTGTGTGTTACCAAGACACAGAGCCCAGGACAGGAAGGGTGTCTGGGCTAATGGGCTGATACTGGCAAGAGTGAAGGGAGGGAAACTTATCTCAAGGGAGGGACATATTTGTGGTCAGTCTTCTCTGCCTCCTGACTACTCACCACAGCCTTGGGCTCTGTGAGTTATCACTTTCCTGAGAAGATGTCCAGCTGCTGGGGATGAATAGGTACTCAGTAAAATTCAACCCTTGGGGTCTGGATTCCTAGAGGCACCACAGGGTGCCTACTTGTAGCACAACAGCAACACTACAAACAGTGGAACTGGGATCCCAAAACTGGAAAAGTGAAGAATCTGTCCATACACAGATTCTGACAAAGCAGAGGAGCACTAGGGACTGGAAGATCAAACTATGGTTTCACCCTGTCCAAATCAGGATATGAGAGTGAAGAGCACATCTGCCCTACAGTCTTAAAATAGTCAGTGTTAAAAAATGTCTCCCCTACCTTGACTTTAGAAGTGATGGTCTGCAGAAAACACTCTGTAATGTCATCTTCCATCCTGTCTAGAAATCCATTTACCTTAACATCCTGGCCAGTGCTGGCACTGCAAATATATGTTAGCTTAAGCCAGACAGTCCTGTTAAAAAAAAAAAAAAAAAAAAGGAAAGTATAGATCAGATAAAATCAGGCTATTCTCTCAGATCAAAACTCTACCTATTACTGGGTAAGTAAATGGACATATGCTCAGGTTCAGGGCTAGCTCAGTGACCCACATTCATGCACCCATCTCTTGGATGGCTCTCATTAAGACACTGCCACAAGGACAGGAAACCTCAGTGCACACAAATGCCACTTGTACTCATCACTAGTGAGATCAGATCAGTAAAAATTCTAGTATTTTCAAAAATGAGTAGGCACGAAATGGCCTTGACAAACAGAGACTGGATGAGCATCCTGTGTGCCTCAGACAACCTACAAATACAAGGCAGTTATTTTCCATCAGAACAGTCTTCAAATCAGCAAATCCTGGTTAAAATTATCACCAACTTGAAAATAGACATTTTACATTCTGGAAAAATTCAGTGTACAACTTCAGTCTTAGGATCATTGTAAAGAGTTACATAAAAGAGACTCATAAGTATTCAGTCTGGGATCCAGCATCAGCAACATGCAAATACAACAAACAAAACAGCTACCTAGGCTCAACACAAGGCTCTGATGTCAAGTAATCACGATGCATATGCTGGATTTTGGCATTTTGCTGACTCCAGAGATCCCCAGATAACTTTACGCAGGAAAAAGTGAAGCAACTTTGTTTTCTCCATTGCTGCGAGTGCTTCTGAAATTAGCTCATAGGTGGAAACAGCCTCCTCCACCCTTCTGTGCTTTATTGCTTCCCTCCTTCCTAGCAACCCCAGGGAGAGCCTGGCATGGTCCATGGGGCTTCATTCAGCAGAGCACTGAAGCTTGTGCTTACCAAGTGCATTGGCACACACATCTCAGCACAATCTTTATAAGGCTTTCGTGCTGAAGAACGATCAGGCCAGTGAAAGGAACCATAGCACAACACGGACAGGGGTAGCCAGGATACTGCTCCCACATGTGACACAGCGCTGCTGCCAGCCTCCTGCTCAGTATACCATGGGTACCAGGAAGGGGGAGATAGTGGACCACCAGCTACAGCCCCTGCCCCTGCAGGGCCTGGGAGCAGGCAAGCAGTAGCAGCACAGCGCTGCCAGTGCAGCAGTCATGGCCCTCTGACCAAGGTCACAGCCCCCATCTGAGCCTCCCTCTCTCTGGAGCAGCCAGGGCACCTCTGAAAGGGTCTCGCTGGCAGCAGCTGGTTCCCTCTGTGCTTCAGGGTTGGTGTGCACAGGGTTGGATGCCCAGATCCAGCTGGAGGCAAGATTGGCCTCAGAGCAGATTCAGAAGGAGATCAGACAGCAGAAAACTCATTTTTCTCCCCAGGCTCTGGTTTCTAACCTTAGAAGGCAGCAATTCTCTAGGATTCGTAAGCTGCTGCAGATTGGTGGGTAGCCATCAAGCTGGAGAAAGCTTCTCACTTCATCTTCATAGCTAAATTAAAACAGGAAGACATATCTTTAATCTGGCATGCTCCATAATGCATCTGACAGCAGTAGCCTGTCAGCAAACTGGAGAAATACTCTGTGATTATTTGTCTTTTCACTGTGCGTTTTCACTCTGCAAGTGGGATCTACAGCATGACAAAGGCAGTCTCTGCCCTGCCCAGCTGCTGGGGAAGGAGAGCATAGGGATGGCACAAGGAGAGCCCTCGAGCTGCCCGAGTGCCACCGCTATGGACCAAGAGGCAGGAGGTTCATTTTACACCATTGCTGCTGCTGCAAAACCTGCTTCTGGGAAGCAGCTCAGGCTTTGCTGATGGAGCTGTGGAACAAAGACTCAGCATGTATGAATAACCCACAAAGTCTATCGGCTGCTTTGTTGCAGCTTCCGTCTCATGAGTGGCTCCCAGACAACTTTGTTTTACAGGAATTTCTTTTCTCTCATCGTGTGGAGGGCCAAGGATCTTAAATGAAACCTCCTTCTGAAACATTCACCTAGAACCAGCATTTTCTGGGTATACACAGGGCAAGAGATGCACAAGTACGAAAAGAAGACAAAGGGAGTCAGAAGAAGTGGTGAGAGGGCAGGAGATGAGAAGAAGACATTCATCCTCCTATGAAACCAGGACAGAGAAGAGCTCCTCATACCCCACGCGCACACACACACACCCATGGAGCCAGCAGGAACCACTGTGCCTGGGAAGCACAGCCAGGGTAGGAAGGGCCAAGCCTGGACAATGGCTACATGGCTGCCCCTCTTCCTGGCTGTGTTTAAGGTCTAAGTCTCTCCAGAACATCCTTCAAGGCTTTAACCCGTCCTGGATAGTCCAGATGCACTTTGTCCCCTCAGCTTTAACCTAACAGCAAATGCTGGCACATTGAACAGAAGTGAAGCTCTGTCTCTCCAGAGATAGTTTGACAGGAAACAGCCATCAAACTAAAGATCCAGGTGAATACAGCATCCCCAGTTGCTACATAAGGATTTCTTTCTTTTGAGCACTCAGGATGTTATCCAGGAGGAAAAGAAGCATCCTTCCTACCTCTCCAGGAACCTCAGGCACTCCTCCAGGCACACAGCTTCCACCTTCTCACTCAGGCTCTTGCTGACACGCCTGGCAGCCTCTGTCTTCTCTGTCAGTATCTGTGGATGTCAATGTGTGAGAGGAGGGCAGGCCAAAGCCATTTGTTCCCTATGCAGTTAACAGGAATACATCCCATCACTCACCTGCTCCAAATCCCTCTGCCCTCTGGGCAGCAACTTCTGCTTAAGTTTTGAGAACCCTTAAGGCTACAGTGGAAATAAAAGTATTTTTCAGGAGCCAGATTATAATGCCTGACCCTACATCTTTGCTACCATGCCTTTTGTTGTGGTCAGCAGGCTGGAGTCCAGGAGAAAGCCTTTCTCTGCAGATGTTCTCTGCTGGCAACACCCAGCCTGGTAGCTCAGCTCAAAGAAAGATCTGACATCTGCAGGAGCACCTGTGCTTCTACCTGACTCACCCTCACAGATAAATCTGCTAAAAAAGAGGTTAGGCAGCTGTAAATGTGTGCCCTGCCCCTCTGCCAGGGTCTCTACTAGGGATGTTTGAAGAGGGCACCTATCACCTTCCCAGCCACCACTGCTCACACCTGACACAGCAGCATGTGTTAAACCCTATGGCATTATATCCTGCCCCACTGACCCCAGCTGGGTGGCCCAGGTGTCTGCAGGAGGTGGGCTGTGCCAGACAGCTCGAAATTCACCCCATATCGGGCAGGCTTGAGCAGGTGGCAACTTAATGCTGCCCATTAGTTGCTCTGTGGAAACAAAAGCTTGCAAGGGAAGGAGAGCCAGATGGATAAAAGGAGACAGATGGCCTCATAGGCTGCGCTCTCCCAGTGCTCGTCATCCAGAGACAAAGGGTGGCTCACATCATGAATGGGTTTTTCCACTGCTCACAACAGATGTAAAAGCTCACCCAAAGGGACAGGATAAAATATGCCACCCCAAAGTGTCAGGAAGTCATGGCTGATGAGTTTTCATGACACCCTGTTCATTTTTTATCTGATCTTCAGTGTCAGCTTGTGAAAATTGAGGAGGCAGTAATTTCATAAGGGTTTCCTATTTATCCAGGCTTTTCCATCACCCACCCCAGAGCATTCAAACCTGTCAGTTTTATACACAACAGAGAAAACCACTCATGCTGAAGCATGGCCAGATGTTGCAGATATGAGGACCACAGGATTCAAACCAGACTTTGTCCTAATTCCTGTTAGAAACCTTTGCTCTCTAAGCCAGGAGCAGGAAAACAAATCAGCTTGGTGGCTAAAAGTCATCCTAAAACAGGTACATCACTGGGTACATCACTGCTCCACCATTCCAGGGGGCTCAAGGCAAGGCGAGGAGGAAACAGCCCCTGCTGTGAACTCTGCACTTGGTGTCTGGGTTTGAGTTGGGCCAGAAAAGCTAGTTTTTGCAAGCTAAAGCTGTGCTCACAAGGAAGGACAGCTGCTGTTGATCTGCAATGCCTCCAATGGGGTGCCTGAGCTTGTCTGCAGCCCCAAAGGACCATGGAGCTATTTTCCTCTTCCATGACCTGAAAGAGGACTGCCACTGGGGTGCTGCTAGTGGAGAAGAAAGATACAGTCGTGGCAGCCCAAATCCTACCCCTGATCTCCAGCATCACTTGAGCCTACATGTGAACTCCAGGATTTATTTTAATCCTTCTGCAGGTCTTGATCCAAATGCCCTCTGGCCATGTTATGTGCTGCTCTTAAATCAGCAGAGTGTGCTTCTGCAGTGCCCTTTGAGCACTCATCTTCACTGTGCTCTGCAGTGTCCCCTCTCACCGCCCAACCCACGAGGGCAGCAGTCGCAGCTGTACCCAGCACAGGAGCAGGGAGCAGCCTGTCTGCATTTGCGCTGCCAGATATGGGGCCCTGCCACAGCTTGGCAACCCTTGTTGCTTTTATAGAAGTGCTCTGCTCACACAGAGCAGAGGGGTTAACACACACCACGACTTTCCAGAACATTACAGGAAGATCCAGGTGCCTATATGAAAATGCAACTTCAGTTTGAATTAGCTAATCTCAGGCTCATTTTTATTTTAGTTAGTTTTTTTTCTTTGCCTATGCACAGAACAAAAACAGGTCTGGGAGCAAAGAGGCACAGTTTGAGTATGGCAGCTAACTTGCAAGCTTTTAACACATCCAGCTTAGCCCGAGACATGCAAAACTGGGTCTTCCCAAATACCCACATACTTGTGTGCAAAAACAGGACTGCCCCTGAGTGGGAGAGCTTTTTGTGGTTCCCCCCAGTTTACCTGAATGACTGCGGCATCTGTACAAGGGGGTTTCCCAATATCAAAGGCTTCTTTCAGGGCTTTCCCTACTTCTTTCTAAATATTAAAAGAAAAGAAAAGAAAAACGAACAGTTGAGATACAATGGCATTCATAATGAGTTAGGTTTCCCAGCCTCTCATTATGCGTTTGAGCTAGATGAATTTCTGCCTCTATTTTTTTTGGCTGTCTCATTTAACCCAAAGCCTGGCTACTTTCCATCTGACCTAATAACATTGTTCTGTTTTGTTCTACATTGTTTGTTTGAGTTTAAATGATTTGCAGCTTCCTTTCATCCCAGTGTCAGCTTGGGTTATCTACAGTCTTCCCTAGTTAGCTTAGCTCAAATGAAGGCGCCCACACAGCAAAACAACGCTTAGACACCCAACTCCATGCTGCCAGCTACTGTAGCTGAGATTTTCCACTCTCCCCAGCTCCAACCGGCACCCACACAAACCAGCCAGCACTAATTAAAAGCATTCCCTCGCTTGAGCCAGGGACTTGTGAGTGCAAAGAGGATTCGGGTTAGTGTTTAAAGCTACTGTCATGATGAGATGAGCCCCATGAGGCTGCACAATGGGAAATTTCCCAAGACTTGGCTGGTTTACAGTAGTTTGAATGGGCTGTAAAAACAAAACCAACACTGCAGAGAAAGGGCTTGTTGCTTAAAACATGATCTGACCTTTATAGAAGCTTTAAACTCAAAAGCCTGGCTCGTTTATTTATTCTTTCATTCCTGCATCTTCCTCCAAGGAATGTAAAGTCTGATCTTCCATTTTTTTCTTTGTTCTTTTCTGGCTGATGAATTAGGAAATTTGTGGCTGTCAACTGAAGAATTTCATCAAAAGTATATTTAAAACAACTGCTCTCCCATACTCACTGAAAAGTGTTAATCAAAGGCAAATAAGTAGTTGTAAACAACCCGAGAAAAATTCTTTTCCTCTAGAGTGTCATCACCTGACTGTGAGCAATTGTGTGAACACGATGTGCTGAGATAACACATCCCAGCCGAGTTGCACAAACACTTCCAGCCTGCCCCAGCTGCACACTAAAATGAACCAGCTTAAGCCAACATGAAGATCTTGCTCCCCAGTGGGACAAAGCATGGTTTAGTGAGTAACTGCAAGGCAATAGCCATGTTGAGCCATAGTACTTAGTTGCTTTGGGTCAGATGATGTGTCTGAATTAACACGAGCTTTTTTGTTTGTAGCTCTGCATTGATACCAGCACCTAAGGCACCAAGGCTCTGAGCTGGAGATGACCAGAATTTGTGCTGTAACAAACAAGCCCAGTTTCCTTCTTGTTCCTCTCTCTCTGGCCAAGATATGGCACTCCATATTGCAAAGCCTTAGATCCATGGATGGTCAGTCCACCTGTGCTGACTGCCCAGCCAACTGCTTCCTCTCAGAAAATGCAGAGGGCTGAGCTATATCTTGGGTCCCTCTTCTCTCTGGCTGCTGTTTTAAAACATGCAAGAACTTAACATCCTTGAGACCCCCACATTGCTATCAAGTGTGGTCCAAATTGGCTAAGATGGGTGGGAGTGCACTGCTGCTGACACACGGTCAGGAAAGTGGGCAGAATGACTGCACAGCCTTATTCGTTTGGGCAGCAGTAGGTCCTCAGCCCAAATTCTCCAAAGCACATGAACTGCTCAGTCCTCTATCTGTCTATTTGAAAAGACAGAGGTGTCAGAGGGGAGAAGACACAGACCCAAGTGATCCTTTGCAGGTCATTGTAAATCCTCCTCATTTTCCACCTGTCGGTATCGGAATGAATGCTGGCATCGTGCTGGAAGGTTTGCCTTCCACTCATGTCAGGTTCCCCAGTACAGCAGGGGCAGACGTGACAGACTGACCACCCAATCTATGGCACCATCATTTTCACTTCACCAACCTTGCAACCTCAAAAGCACAAAGCTCCCTTGGCCCTAGACATGTCCAGGCTGAAGGAATGCCACCTGCATGCAGAGCTGACCGAGTTCCCCACAGAGGTTTTTGCAAGTGGTTTTGAACCCCACATGGCACCTGAGCTCTCATCACCTTCAGATGCGGTCACAGTTCTCACCGCTCATTTCTGTTTAAAGTGCTTTTAGTATGCATAAGTATCAGGCTGGCACTCCCAGTGATAAGCCAGGTATTTAGAGGCAAAGCAGGCCAAGGCTTATTCTGGTCAGGCTCTTTTAATTTAGAAAAATTTAGTCATCCACCGAAGTGGCAAAACGCACAGCATGTGATTTAATCACAATTACATGTGATAATTGTTCAAACATAACTGACAGGAATTTTGCTCAATAGCAACTTGCTGTATATTTGGAATAATGAAGGGCTAGAGTATCCTGGAGCCAGAAACAGGGGGACAAAGCAGGTTTTATAAGCTATGCCACTGAGCTGAGTGAAGCGACATTCATAATTTTTCCATATGGAATCAGCTTATGTCCACTTAAGCTCATTAGCTTGAATCTGGAGCTGGTCCCAAGCTGGCCAGGTCTGAAATAAGCTGGGGCAATGCTGTGCTACACTCGCCAGCACTTCCAGCTCTGTTCTCTATGTATAATGCAGCACCGTGTAGAGCTGCAATGATTCCAGATCCAAGGTGGCATGAAAAAAAGCAGCCAGCTCAGGGTAGCATGGCACAAATGCTCGTAACCACTGCCACATTGAGGTGAACCTGCTCAGATCTTTGTGCATCACAAAAGCAGAAAGGCCATGGTTAAGCAAAAGCTTTCTCCAGCTATTATGCTAGAGGGAAATTAAAAAAAAAAAATTTTAAATTCTCTATCACTGTTAGTCAGCATCTTTGAGGGCTTGTCAATGACCCAGAGACGTGCTCTAAAATAACCTCAGTGGCATTACCCTGAGTAAAGTAATTTCCTTCATTGAAACAAGTGCTAAAAAAAGGCTTTAAGAACATGTGGTCTTTCCCAGGGTAATGATGAGAAACAGTCCATAAAGATGCCTAATGTTAAACACTGAAACCAGTAGGCTTTAAACATATTGTCACCAGCTGGCACTTCTACTCCCATGTTTGTGACTACTTTCGTGTTCTCCTTCAGGGATTAGGTCTTGAGGAAAATCTCTGCAATTTAGAGTACTTTCCCTGGGATGATTCAGCAGTTTACCATAGAATTTCCCCTCTGCTCCCCAGGGGCTGGTGAAAATGGAAAGCCAGAGATATGAGTGTGGTAACTCCTGCTGCTGCATTTCAGCTTCAGCTGAATATGAAAGGCCCCGCTGAGTTTTGCAAACAACATCGTTTCCTCTGGAATTCCCCGTTGCTACAACACATCTTCCCTGCTTCATTTGTATTCCACGTGTCTCAACAGAATTCTTCAAAGGCGGAGCTTAACTGAGAAAAGAACGCGGCACTGCAGCCCTAGGGCTGGCATCACCTGTGGGATCGCATGGCAGGATGCCCTGCTCCAGCCTTACAGGAGAGCTGCTGGCTGTGCACCAGCTGCTTGTTTCCTTGTGCTGAACTCTGGAAATAGTCTTTGCTATAACCTCAGCAGTGTCAATCCAGCAGGCTGGAGAGGGCTGTGAGGGGTCCACATACAGACAAACCCAGCAGCCTCAATATCCTGCACAGCTGTAAAAAACCCCAACCATTGCACACAATGGTCTCAGTAACAGAGAGAAGATTAACAGCATCCTGAAATGGCTCTCAATAAGGAAGTGAGCTTCACCCATAGTCTTCCTTTCCTCCAGATTCATGGGCTTCTAAGCAGAGCAGATTGCAACTCTGTAGAGGTGCAACAATGGGTTAAGAGAGATTTGCAAATGTCCCAGCATTTTCCCTGCTAAAGAACAAGGACATGGCTGCATCCCTTTGGCAACAGACAATCATGGATCTTCACACCTGGGCTCTGCAATGAAACTTGGTCAAGACCTCGGAGCTTACTCATAGCTAAGCAGAACTGGCTCAGCTTGCAAGGCAGCAGCTAATTTATAAGGGCACTTAAAATCATGGGAATGGAACAGGCAGGTTGGGGTAAAACCCTTGAGTTCTTACCTGTGTGAGTGCAAGTAACCTTTCCTCAGTCTTCAAAACAATCCACACAAGATACTGTCCATCAAGGGAAAGGTTGTGCTGGGGGATCTCGCAGGGTCTCAGACAGGCCTCGCTGCCACTGCATACAGAAACAAGAGCTCAGCCAGAGGGGCAGCTTCCCATGGGTCCACAGCCCATCACCTGCCTGGCACCCCCTGCTTGGTACCACAGCCTCATGGTAAGAAAACAGGGTGTCCTGCAAGAACCCAGCTGTATTTGCCATGTTTGGGCAGCCACACCATGTAGATGATCTTTGTCATGTCCTTTTGCCAGCTATTCTTACGTGCTGTTTCTTTTCCTTCTTCCTATATTTGCTGACCAAATTACACTTTTATTTTGTTGTTTCCTTCTCCCCTTCCCTCATTGCTCCTGCTGAATTCCTTTTTAGGCCTGGGCAGAGTCACCCAAGCACACTTGCACGAATGCACAATTTTACAAGTGTCACATATTCTGTCTGAGTGGAATAAAAAGCAGCTATATACCCAGACAACTGCATCTATGCATGAGCTTTCACTGAGGTTGTAACAGTATTCAGAGAGTAAAATTCAAATAGTTAAGGCTGGCACCTGTGCTCTTCTCATTTCCACTTTCTTCACTACCTCATGACTAATACAGTCACGTGCTGCTCTTGCTTAGTTGGTTTGCTTTTTGAAGGGATTCAGCATTTACATAATACATTTTTCCTATATTTGACTTTTCTTAATATACTTAAACATTTATATTTTCTTTATAAATTCAAATTACATAATTTTTTGCCTCCAATTGCATGCAAGTTTTCAATATTTCATCAATACATTACTCTAAAGCTTTACCATTTCAAAAGCAGCAGTCAAAGGGATGCATCCTAACCACTTCTCCCCTGTGTCAGACTATGGCCAATGTGTACCCACACAGTTTCCCTCCTTTGGGAGCTGGCTGGGGGAAGAGCCCACCTGATGAACGGCTCATCGGATAATCGAGGGTTTATAAGTGTAATTAATACAAGGATCAGAGAAGCTGTAGGCTTGGATGGAAGCAATCAAATAACCCCAAAGGGCTGAAAACTATTAGGGCATGAGCAGAGTGGAGCTGTCAAGTAGCAATGAAACCATGGACACGGAGAATCAAACACCACATCTACATAATAAATAATGGCCAGTCTTCGCGAGCGAAGATCCGGGGAAGGTCTTTACACCTTCCAGCCTGCGCATTGGATTTTTTAGGTGAGACACAGTGTGCGCGGAACTGAGCCCACCCTTTAATCCTAAGGTTCATCTGCCGGGGCCAAGCGAGCTTGGACGGTGGCAGCGAGGTCCTTAGGACGTAGGTGGGTTGCCTTTAAGGGCTGACGAGCCCCACCTACCCGGGAGTGGCCCTGACCGGGAATCGAACCCGGAGACCACATCTACAATACAAAAAGAAATCACAAGAAAGCTTTAGGCTTTGATGGCACCCACAGACTTTGAATTCACATTGGGCCAAAAGGTCCCAGATGTGCTATTCTTCAGATCATGGGGAAAACCACATCTGTTTTCCCAAAGTTGGGCAGGAATTTAATTATCTGCTACATGTTCTTCCTGTGATGCGAACACTAATGCAGGAAACACAGAAACAACTGGGCAAGCTACAAGCCCCATAAAGCAGCAATAAGGTCCAAGGACACAACAAGAGAAATTACCAGAGCACCATGCTGACAGAAAGGCTGGAGTAATTGAAGTATTATGGACCTTGCTAAAAAAGGCTTAACGAGAGGAAAGAAATTGTTCAGTAAAGTAGAAAACTGTGCAGGTCCAACAGGAGTCCAGTGGAGAAATACCTGCCTACCTCAGGTAAGCCCCTAAGCCTGCTACTAAGGATTTAGAAAAAGGCAGTACGGCAATGAAAAAAGGCTCTGATTCTGAGAGCACAGAAGATCAAAGAGGCAGTGGGCAAGCCTAAACTCAGCAACAATCCTGAACATTGCTGTGCTATCAGGAAGCAGGGATCGTGCTCAGAACTGAAGAACAGAGACATAAAAAAAATGTAGATAAAAAGTCCTTCAGACATACCTTTTGTATATTTTAAGGCCCCATTCATAAATTAAAAGACATTGGCTGAAGCTGAAATGGTTACTGTCAGTAAGCGTGGAAAGGTGAGAACACAAAGAGGCATGACAGCAGTGGGCGTAGGTGACGAGCAGTCCTGCTTCCTTGAAGACATCACTTCTGTGCTCCAGGCTGGGGAGAAATGTCATTTCCAGATGACTCAGATGCTGTTTTAGTGCAGTATCATCTGTGTTAGCAGAGGAACCAAACAGGGGAATCTGGGCTGTCACATACTGTATCAGTTTTTCCTCCAGATCTTTCCTCCAGAAGTTTGGACTCCAGGTGGAAACAGACTCCATTTCTTGGCTGTTGCCAAGCCACTCTGCTTCCTTCTGCTTCTGCCACTTCAGTGATTCCCCCACTGACTGCAATGGCTCCAGGAACATCCTACCACTTCCACTGAGAGCTTCTTCCACCACAGTCCACATTCGTTCAGCCAGTAGCGCATAAAGTGATTCAGACTTTCGCACACCATCATTTCCAGAATGCTTCAGATTATAAATATGATCACAAGCTTCCAAAAATTTTCCTTGCTCAATGCATCTGCAGATCGTTTCCTCTGCAACAGAGAAAGAACACAACTTGCTGTTTGTTCACTTGTCTATAGGACTCATTGCTTTAATATCCAAGTTATCAAGTATGTAGTTTATATGTATGTAGTTAAGATAAACTCACTTAAGGTCTAGCATTAGCACCTCTCAGTTTCTTCAAGACAAGCACTTTTTTCCCCTCTTTCTTTCTTTCTTTCATCCTTCCTCCTCCAGGCTAACCAAGCCTGCAGACTATTCTGCAGTTTTCAGAGAAATCATCCCAGAGACCTTCTCATGTGGGCTATGCAAGCTCATTAAAGACAATCTTTCCTTAAGGAATGCACCTTCTGTCCAGAAGAAAAACATTAGAGAAAGGACATCTTCTGAGTAAGTCAACAGTTGAAAGTCAAGCCTAGAAGGAATCCTCTGTCTCCTCTACAGAAAACTTTGGCAGGACCAAAGTGCTGCAAGCTCTCTTGGAAAGTCCCTCCCACCCGCTCAAGCCTGACATAGCTACACAGAGGGTGTCACTCCTGCCAGCGAGCTCTTGCCTTAGGCTGAGACTGCTCACTGCAGTCCAGGGCCCTCTCTTTATCAGGATGTTTTAACTAGATCAAATGATTAGGCATGCTATTTTGCCCAAAACTGAAACTTAGAAGGGGATTCCCATAACTGCCCGTGACCTCTGCATCTGCACGAAGCTGTGGTGACTGAGCCACTGCCCTAATCACCAGACACATCATCATCAAGGCATTATGGAACCTTAAAAGTTCAGAAGTTGGAAGGAGAAGTTTTTCATTGCTGCTTGTTTCTAAAATGTCTTACCCATCACATCCAGCCCACCGAAAAGAGTTAAATGTAAGCTCACAACAGTTGCACAGAGTGCATTTTACAGATGACAAAATTGAGCAACAAAGAGTTGGAAGTTGTCCAAAGGTGTCTGGAGCAGAGTCCAGAGTAAAAATCAAACTTGATGAAATGCAGGGAAATTTAGACAAAACCAGAAGCATTGGGACTCTGAAATAATTCAGGATACAGTTTTGGGTGTAGAGCAAAGAATGAAAAAGCATGAGCTTCCATTACTTTCACCTGAATCCTAACTTGCCTCTATGAAAAAATCTCATATGTGTAGTAAGAATTAAACCAAACAGGACTAGAGGGAGGAACATGAAAGGAACTGGAAAAGGGTTGATGCAAGGATCTTCAACAAAGCAATGGGCAAACTGTTCAGGAGCGGTCTACAAGCTGCACTCATCCTGCCTTGATACATGCAACACATAGGAAATGCTTAATTGGCACAACTAGCCCATGTACAACCCATCTGCCCCTCCCATCTGTGCAAGAACAGCACAGTCACACCAACAGAGTGTCACTCACACATACATCATCTTTCTCACAACACATATCAGGAGTCTTTGCAGGGAAAACGAAAACAGTAAAGAGAAACACTTTTGAGGCAAAATGAAATACACAGCTTTCCAGAGGAGCAAGAGTACAGTTCAGAAAGATCAAGAATTCAGGTGAAGGATGGGGAGGAGAAGAGTGTAAAGCACCTAATCCAGAAGCTGATGAAAACAAGAGCCTGCAGGGCTGAGTGAGGCAGGCAAGATCCAGGCCTGGACCCAAAGATAACTTCAAGGTTACCTGCAGGTGTTCCTCTCTCTGCTCTCTTCCTACTGGTTTGCTTCTTTAGCAAAGTCCCTGCCACATCCTCACCGCCAGCCTTCTTCATTGTCTCCTTCCCACCAACCACAGTCTTTAGCAATTTGCCTGCCAAGGTTTTCAGTGTCCCTTTCCTCTTTGCCTCCTGCTTCTTTCTCTCCTCATGTGTGGCCTTGGGCAGTATTCTTGCATTTTCCTCAGCCATTTTCTCCCCCTTGTTGCCTCCTCCCACGAAGGCTGCCCAGGAATGCTTTGTCTTCCTCATGATCCAAGCAGATTCACAGGCTTTCTGTCCAACTGGGAATACTATCAGAAGAAACCATCAGAAACACTTCTATGCAAGGTGATCTTAGCATCTGTTTCCCAGAAAAGTTCTCTCGTCTTCTGATTTTTTTTTCCTGTGCAGCTACAGTCTTCAGCTGCCTTTGAAGAAGTCTAACCTGGTTCCTGTTCGTGCCAAGTGAGGACATTTTTATAGGCTGCCAGCCCTCTTATGTAATCTCTCTCTCTTCCAGGAAAATAATGTCAAAAACCTCATACATAATCTAACCACAAGCAGTAGGGGAAAGCCAGTGGAATTTTTGGCATTTTCTAAATGACTAAAACATCCCTGCACTGCCAGTTGTTTTAATGACAATCCTATCAGTGTAAGGGAGTTGATTATTAACAGTTTCTATGAAGAACACACCCTTTTCCATCCACCCCACGTGCCCAGGCTGCACCTGAGCTTTTCTTTGGCAGAGAAATCGTGTTTGGATTTGGAGCCAATTTTTTCCCCACCTCCCAGCAAGCCTCGTGGTAGCCAACAGGGATGTAAAGCCCCAGAAAAAGGGCATTGGTTTCCACATTTTGACAGCACCATTCAGAGGAGATAAGAGTGATCTCAGCCTTCTGGAATGTGCAATATTCCAGCAACTATTATAAATTGTTTTATATTTTTAGACACACACATGGATATAAATGGCATAACGCTGCAGCAATCCACCATCAATGTGTGTGTGTCCATATGTGTAATGCACACACAGAGATCTGTTCACCAGCCAGTGCCCACAGTGAAGAAAAAGGAGATGTATGTCTGCTCAGCTGCTAAAGTGTCTGACCATAAACCTCAGGACAAATTCCTACATAGAAAGTATCCTTGAACTCCAGGAACTCATGTTTAAAATAGATTTTATAAAGTCTCTGCACTTCTGTGAGAAAGGCAATACACTCGGAGAGAAGCTGAAATGCTGTCCTTACCACTCTTCCCTTGCTAGAGAGTTGCAAACTGGGTTTAATTCTCCATTCCACTATTATAAAAATTAAACTGAGAACTTGAGGATTTTGATCAGCTGAGAACAGTTTGTATTAGTCATTACAAGCTGTAATTATTCAAAACCAAATACTATGCAAAAATTATTTTCAGGGTATGAATTTAAAGGATATTTTTTCCACAGCATCTAGATTATTCCAAACATGTGATATCATATTTCTGGATTTAATGCCTGCAGTATCTTCCAAAATTTTCTACATTTTCATGACAGTAAAATTCCACTAGTTTCCTACTTGGAAACCAAGTAAATGTTATGTTGTTCTGGCTCTTTTACTCAGTGCTTAATTCCACCAGCATGTTATCACAGAGCCATTTGATTCATTAGTAACAATAGGCAAGAGGACATAAATACATTTCATTTGGAAGGGCAAACAGAAATTCCAGCAGTGGTCATACATTTGAGCTGCTGCCAGTAGGAAATACTGAGGTTGCAAAACTCAGTGTTTTCCCAGGTTGTGAAAAAAGTTAAAAATCGAGAGACTTTACACACATTCCATTTTTACCTTAATTTTTAATCAGCTGAAGTTAAAATGTTTTGTTTAGAATATTATAGCTGCACAGTATATGAATACAAGATGGAGTGAAGGGGTCAGTACTGCAGAGATGCATTCCAGTCATGCTGAAACCCTTCGGCAATGTTTTCCCATGAAAATTCCAACACAACATGTTTATGTTTCACTTCATCAGCGTTTTTCCAGCCAGCCTGGCTCTAACAAAAAGCATTTCCCTAGACTTCTCTGTGGAAGGAAATTGGATGTCAAAGTGCCAGCCCTGAAGGCAAGATTCTCTGCAGTATACAGATTTTGAACACACAACAGTTGCAGATCGTGCCCTAAACTGTGGCAACATGATGTGTGGGAATTGCTGTGTTTTCCCAGAAAGCTTCTTTCAAGGGAATACAATATGAGCCTGAGGAAAGCAAGGAGTGAATGCACAGAGATGGATAGACTTCCCGAGGCTAGGAGCATCTCTTACTCCATGGACCACTGGATCCACTCAGTCAAGGCTTTGGCAAACATTCCATGAGATGAGAGTGCCCTCAGGTCACAGCCCACCCGAGCACTGCAGCACCAACAACCCAGAGGGTTGCTCTGTCCTACCTTCCCCTCTCTCACAAACCAGGACAACCAGTGTGTGAAGGCAAAGCAGGCCATAGCTTTGGGGAGCAGACAGCTGTGAGCATCCTTCCAAGGGACAGCAGCATGGGGATGGTCATTCTGACCAAGGGTGCTGAGCCCATCAGCAGCAGGAGATGATTCCCCATTCCCCTGGCTACAGTGGGAGTGGCAATCCATGGTCAGCCTCTCTGCATCCCCCTGCCCACAACTACTTTGGGTTGAAGGACAGTGTCACTGAGGGGAATGCACTGTACCAGGAGAGGACATGCCACAAAGGAGCTGCCCAAAAGCTACCAAGCAGTCTGCTTTCCTGAGTCCATGTGCCTTAATAGCACATGCAGGGTGCACAGGTCTCTCCCCTCTGTCTATAATGCTATTTTACTGCTCAGGCTGAAGTTCTGCAGCTAAAACATGGGGACCATTTGAATTTCTAGTAAAATCTTCCTCCACAGTGCTTCCATGAATGGTGTTATGCCTAAACAAGCAAAACTCCCAGGGAAGCTTCACCTTTACAGCAGAGGAGCTGAAAAGTGCCAAGATCAAACTAGAACAAAGGTCTTTCAAAGAGTTAACATAATGCAAAGAGTTAACATAATGCAAAGGGATTGTTTGCTTTCCAAACCTGTTGTTTTGGGCAGGGAAATCGAGGCACTGCCACATTTTATCTGCCCCTTTCGTGGGCTCTTGAGCTGCCCACCCAAGGGGAGACGTTTCATGGAAAGAAGGGCAGTAGGAAACCACTAGGACAAAGGACCAAGAACAAGCACAGTTCTGCTTCTGAACAAATTCCTTTGTCAGGTGTACCAAATTACTTCCTTCTTCCTCAAAAGCCACTTCTTGGAAGTCTGCCCCTCCTTCTTACTGGTGTTTCAATGCCTCTATTTATCCACAGTGGGATGTTCTCTAGCTGGGTCGTTCTTCTCCCTGCCCTGACCATTGCTATGCTCACTGTGAAAGAAAAGCAATTTGTCTCCCAGGGACATCCCCAGCATTTAGGACTTTTCCTCATTGCCCGGAGCTTCTGGAAAAGCCCACAGCCTCTCCACGTCACTATGACTCTGGTTTTTTATCTCAGAAAAACTGTACCTCCTTTGTCTTTGGGATCTTTCATTAAACAAGGGAATATATTGCATAATTTTTTATATTGCTTCTCTGTTGACTTAACTCTTTATCTTGCTGTTTCCCATTTCTTTTGCCTAGATAGATAAAATCTCTTCATAATAAGTGGACTGTGTGCCTGACTTGGACAATAGCTGTTTGGTCTGGATGCTAATCGGATGAAGTCAGACTATTAGCACTACAAATTAAATGACTTTGCAAGAGTCCAGTTACATTAATATTCCAATTCCAGCAATGCAGTGATGCCCCTGCTTGCTTTGCAGGGACGCTGCATGAATGCAGTCAGGCATGTACAATGGAAACTTTGTGCTCAGTAGCATCTGTTATAGGAAATACACTTGGCCCTAACAGGCAGGTGGATCTGCAGTATCTGGAGAGAGAGGTTTTTCATCTCCTCTTTGTTTCCAGAAGATGCTAGTACTCTCCACCACTTTGAACCAAAGGCATGAAAGATAGCAGAAAGGAATATAATTCTGATGATAAAACATGCAGAGTATGGCACAGAAAGATGTTGGTTCCCTAGGATATAAATCCATGCAAAACCACTCTGAGAAGCTAAGCTGTAGTCTGACAATGTGTTCCCCCACCCACACACAGCATCTTTGATTTCATCAGCAATCAAAGAACAGCCAGTCTCCATTCCAAGCAAGGTAGGCTTTTTGGAGAGAGAGAAAACAAAACAACAAAGAAACAAAACAAAAACACCTTCCCCTCTAGTTCGACATTGCAGCTGGCATTGCCATAATGGTCATATGCAAGAGGTGACTTTGTCAGTTGTGGACAATTAGCTATTATCCAGTGAAAGCATACATTCATTATTTTTTCCTAAGGATAACCCCCTTTCCTAAAGAAACAAGACAATGTAGCCACAGGTTGCAGGTATCTCTGTATTCATCTGATCCCCTCCCTGAAGGCACTTCAGTGGATTTTAAGTCAGTTTTAACTAATTTTAAAGCCAGTTTTAACCAAACTGACAGAAGGTGGCTGACAAAAACAGTACATCCTTACACACATCATGGACACACATATCTGAGAGGAGAGGGTAGACCTTCATTGCTCCTGCTGAGGAACAGAACATGGAATGAACTCAGCCTTTATTACTCATCAGAATCCACCTGGCAGCTCAATCTGAAAGTACACAAACATGGTTTCCCTGACTCTGTTGCTCACCAAATCTGCTGTTTACTCTCCAGCTAAGCCATGTGTGTGCAAGAGCAAACAAAGCAGCACAAATATTTAATACAGGCAGCTTTTCCTACAGCAACAGATGAAATGAAGTTGCTTCCCTGTTGTGGCTCCTGGCACCAGGCTGCACCCCCTCTCCTCCCTGAGATTTGTGCTACCCCAAACAGGCCACAGATCTATGATTTTGGAGCTAATTTGGAGCTGCCCTTCAGACACAGCTGAAGTAAAAAAGAAAGAAGGAATCTTGTTCCTTTCTCTTCTCAAGTGTGTTCACTTGAGTAGCTCTTCTCTCCTCAGCCACTGATTTTTATTCCATTTTGCAGAAATTAATCTGAGACTTCCGTCCTTCTCTGGGTTTGTCTGAAACTAGAGGAATTCAGTGTATGAGGGGAGGACAGAAAGATGGATTGACAGAGAGGCTGCATGGTCCCAGCAGTTCCAGCAACCACATTAAATTCCTAAGGACAAGAATTTAATACTGCCACCTTCCCCCGCCCTGAACACCGAAACATGTTTGGGTGTGATATAAAATTTGCACTGCCTCTGTTTTCCTTCTGATTGTGAGAACTCCATTCTGAAATGACCTCAATTTTCATTTAATTAGTAACCTACTTTGCTGATCCTTTAGAACATTTTTAGCTAATTCCTGTGGGTTTTGCCTAATTCTATTTTTTTGTTTTCAGTATTGCTTTAAGGAAGCCCCTTTTCAC